CCCCAAAACCCCAAAACCCCAAAACCCCAAAACCCCAAAACCCCAGCTCCCCAAACACATTGAAACCTGATTATCAAAAACCCAAACCGCCCAAAACCTGCATTCACCAAATCCCCCAAAGCAACCACTCTCCTCTCCCTCACTCAACCCATAAACCCCTCCTAACTCCTAAATCCTCGCTCACCCACCCAACCCCACCCCATCACTCCTACCCACCCAATCTCCACCCTCCAAATCCACACATTACACCTATAATCCCACAGCCAAGAGTCTCCTTCCCTTCCATCCCTCCCACTACCAGCCAGCCTACACCAGTGGGCTCGAAGACAAAGGAATGATCTGGAGAGCACTTATTGGTCAAGCCCTCATTTTAAAAGACTAAACAGTTTAATGAATTTAGAAGGCCAGAATATATCATAAAACTTTCATAACAGACAAAGGCTGATACCAGTTATTATAATCTTTCACCTTTTATAAAATGTCAATAATTCTAATGTAAATCCAATATTATATCTCCACCAAAAATTGCCATCTCTCAGAGAAGGGGAGCTAAGTTTTACCACAGAGTAGGTTCCCTACAGCCGATGTATAAATGCATCTGAAAAGGTCTATCTGAACACCAGCACCAATGTTAATAATTTCGATTTGAAGTTATTAGTAAATTACTCATTAGTATTAAACATGCACAATTTTAAGGTCATGAATTTTGGCTTTTGACTACAGAAATTTTATTCGAATTCCTTTCTTTGGAAGTAAGGTTCCTGTTTAAAGAGAAGTTTTGAATGTCTTTAGAGACGTCGGATAATGTGTTGCTGCTCTTGATTTTCTGCGTTACCATTGTGAAGAGTTTAAAAAGATGATAATTTTCCTTAACCTTCAATTTTTCCATCTTTGGTAGTAAAACTTGTAATTCAGATCTAGTTTGTTTTATTTCTTTATTTTATGCTCTGCTTTTCTCTTTTTAATTCTTTTCTCTTTTTCTTCTCTCTTTGTAAAATTTGCTTATATTTTTGTAGCTCTTGTTCTCAAGTCTTCTTTTTAATTTCTAATTTAATCATATCAACTTTGCCATTGACTTTAAAATCTTGATAAATCTCTTCAACAAGCCCGAGTACTTTTTTGCTACAGCCAATCTGGATATCCTTATAGTAATTCTGCAGCTCAAGATTGTTCGAAATAGTCTTGAGTTCATGTGAAGTGAGTAACCAAGTACTCCCTCTTTTAAAAGGTTTGGACATATTCATATCTGATTTATGATCTAATAAAGTTATGACTATATTCAACATTGAGCCTATAAATTGGGGTTTTGGGGTTTTGGGGTTTTGGGG